GGGGGTCCCAGGGAACCGGAGACATGTTCAGATGGCTTAACAACTGAGATGGATATACTTTCCCTCTCTGCCTGGGGTTTGTATATTTTGTTTTTGATCATATTTAATCTTTAATACTGTTTTTTATATTTTTATAATGATTGTTTTATATATGTATTGTTTTTATCTGACTGTTGTACGCTGTGATGATACCTTTAACAGCATCAAACAACATCAGCCTATCCCAGGTCCTTAGGAAGGAAATGATAGGTGGATAAAAATGCTAAATCCAGTCTAAACATTTGGCTGACTGTGCAGCCAACCATAATAATGGAAGCTATATAAATAAAACCTGTTAAATTTAGAGGACCTCACTTGAGTTCTTAGCCCTGCAGCTAACAGTGCCTTAGCTGTATTTTTCCTGGTGTCACAGCCTGCATTAGAATGTTGTATGCCTTGGCGAAGTACAGTTAGTCAAACAATATAATGCCATTTCATTATAATAAAAATCTATAATCAGAAAAGATATGCCAAAAAGATCTAGGAAAAAATGCTTCCAGTTCTTATATGTTGAAGATACAGTTTCCAGGGCAATTATCTATGTGCCCCATGTGCAAAACTAGTATGAGGCCAAGAACAACAAACAAAAACCCAAATGGACTAATATTTGGAATCTAGTTGTGTAACAGTATTTTTGTTTAATTGCAGTATCTCAACTTAAAAAAAAAACAGCAAGACTGAGAATATACATTATAGAAGAATTACAGGCACTATTGGCAACAAGAACTTATGTTCTAAGTGAGTAGCAATTATAAGGGATCTGTGGGGGAGAAAGCAAGGGGGTGTAGATGATGAAATGTATGTTATATGGCAACACAAACCATGTGACTTAACATACTTGTATCCAACTTCAAGTCTGAATGTCTAGGATTCACATCATGATGATGCTTTGTTATTTTACCAGTGTGGTTTATATCTGACATATATAGCATTTATATTTTTACAGTGAATTTTTGTACTAGGAGCAAGCAGCAGTATCTGGAGGGAGGGGGACAAGGGTCACTGCTGTGGAGTTACAATGCAAGCCATGCCCCTTTTCTACTTGCATTGTGATGCTGAACACACAGAAGCAGGAGAGGTTGCAGTGCTACCCTACTTTGTCATTCTGATGAAAGCAGCAAGTTATCGTGGACACCACTAGAAGCACGATTTCATATGGTTACTGAACTCAGTGCTTTGATTCTGCAAACGTTGGCAGTCATTCCAAAGGAATCTAATGATAAATTCTTAATTTGTTTATTTACTTAATTCCTACCACACTACTTTGTTTCATCAACAGCATCAAGGCGGCTGGCAGTGATAAAGAAATAAATGTAAATCGACATTAAAACCATTAAAATAAGGATTAAAAATAAACATTAGTATACATTAACAATTATTAATTATTGGCAAAATATATGCAGTTTTGTCATCCTAAATATTCAAAGAGTGGGGCCAAATGCATCTCCCTAAGGAATACATTTCACAGCCTAGAAGCTATGCAGGAGATGTCAAGCTTTTGGGGGTGAGGGAGCTTCAAAATGCCCTCTCTTGATAGTGTAAATCATCAATTCTCAAACATTTTGGTCTCAGGACTCCTTTACATTCTTAAAAGTGATTGAGGACTCCAAAGAGCTTTGACTTGTGTGGGTTATATCTATCAATATTTACTGTATTAGAAATTAAAACTAAGAAATTTTAAAGTATATATTTCACTTTGCAGACCCTCTGAAAGGGTCTCGAGGACCCCCAGGGATCCTCAGACTACACTTTGAGAACTGCTGGTGTAAATAGTTGGAGAAGTACAGAGAAGAAGAGGTGATTCCTCTGATAGTTAGATTTGGACTCTAAGCCTTTAAAAGCTTTAAAGATCAATATTAGTATCTTGTATTGTGCTCAGAAGGCAACTGGTAGCTCACTGTATTGTTATGTGGGAATGACCTTGGGAGACTGGGCAGAGACACTGCCAAGGAAACAGTCAGGTAAGAGACAGCATAGTCCATAGCTGGATAGTGGGCGGGGCAAGAGGCTCAGAAGAGACCCTCCCTAGTTTCTTGGGCTGTAAAGGAGAAGGGGGTGGTGGAGAGAATTGTACTTTCAGGCTTGCAAGATTCTGTCAATGTAGCTTTCAGTAACATAGAGTTAGCTCCTCGGGCTGTGATTCTTATCTGCTTTACACTGTGAGGCCAATAGAATCTTGGAAGTCCGAAAATACAATTCTCCCCCCACCTCCTCATCTCCTTTACAGCCCTAAGAAGACTCTTGCCCCACCCACTATTGGGCTGTGCTGTCCCTTATCTGACCATCCCTTGGCAGTATCTCTTTGCCCAGTCTCCCAAGAACTTTCCCACATACCATCACACTGGTTCAGGCATCATGTGATCCCTGTATCTTGTAAATATGAATTACATCCATATATCACAATCATATATTTAATCTTAATTGTTCATGCTGTTTTGTGAATAACATCCTTATGCCACTTTTACTACACAGGTACACCAACTTCCTCTCCATAAACTGAGCCATTTATGCCAAGGTCCACAAGTTGCCTAGATAGTTCTCCATCTCTCATCTTTATCCTTGTTGGAGCTCTAGGATAAACAGGGCGTTTCCTCATTTGCACTTAACTGTGACCACAAACATGTCCTGGCAACATCATTTTTTTTTTTTTTACTCTGTCCCCATGACATTGTCCCAGGATCATGACTTAAATCATCATTAGCTACTCTGCGATATTTTCCCACTTATTCTGGCACTACCAAGGACAGCTGCAAGCTATTTGACTTTGGCATCCATTACCTTAGAGCAGTGTTTCTCAACCTTGGCAACTTTAAGATGTGTGCTGGGGAATTCTGGGAATTGAAGTCCACACATCTTAAAGTTGCCAAGGTTGAGAAACACTGCCTTAGAGGAAATGTTCCTCTAAGGCAGTGTTTCTCAACTTTGGCAACTTTAAGATGTGTGCTGGGGAATTCTGGGAATTGAAGTCCACACATCTTAAAGTTGCCAAAGTTGAGAAACACTGCCTTAGAGGAACATCACATAACTGCAGTGACTAGGAGCAACAGCAGAGAAGGGATTGCAATGGGTACAATGAATTTCACACCAATATACTTTTCTGCTGACCAAGAAATGGACAGCACTTCAACTAATCAGTGGGGTAAGGGTAGAAAAAAAAGCAGCCCTTTGTTTTGGAAAAAAGTGAAATTAAGAACCCCCTGGGTTCCTATACATTAAGACATGGATGGGAAGCCTATGGCCAGATATTGCTGAACTACAGCTATCAGCATCCCTGGCATAGGCAGACATGGAAAACTGAGTTGTTACTGAACAGAATTAGGGAATGAATTGTGAACCAAGGTGATGGCCGCCTTGTTGAAAACAGTAAGTCTCCTGTGTCTTTAAGGGTTACATAACAGGAGCCAGATCTGCCTCTCTCCCCCAGTCCTTGCTAGACAGAACACTATTGATTTCCTAATTCTCTGCTAAACAGCTTGAAGAACTAGGGAGCCAAACTAGCTGGAACAAAGAGTGCCCAAAGATGGGTCACAGCTTTCATACAGTACTAGCTTTCCCCCCCTGCCATCTGGGGATAAGGGGCAACATGACCTCCTGGAGACTGCTTTGAACTCTGGGTATGCCCTGAAGTGCGAAAGTCCTTAATCAAAAGTAAAGAGCTAGGCGGAACTGTTTTCCTGCATGGATTACCACTGGCATCTTTACTAGCGATAACACAGCTTATAATTAAAACAATGGTGATAGCAGAATTCATTATTAGAGCAAATGCATTGTACTGTAAAGCAAATTTGTAGCAAATAACCCCAACACCAAATGGTGTGTGCTAATTTCATCCCTGTTGCCTTAAAAGTAAACGTTACTGTTCAGCGAGACTTGCTCTCTAGAAAATATACCTACGTTGGCAATTACACTGTACAGTATATATTTCAAAGTCCCATTGTGTTTGATGGGGCTTACTTTTTTTTTTAATCCCACTTTTATTATTTTTATAAATAACTTAAATGTACCTAATACACTTTCCTCTTCCTATTTTCCCCACAACAACCACCCTGTGAGGCTAAGAGAGAGTGATTGGCCCAAAGTCACCTAGCCGGCTTTCATGCCTAAGGCAGGACTAGAACTCAGGGTCTCTGCTTTCTAGCCCGAAGCTTTAACCACCAGACCGAACTGGCTGGCTCTTACTTAAAGGGAAGGAGGGGGGAGCACTGTAGTCTTGGTCTTCCATCACGTGCAGAAATAACAGTAATCTCATCTTTCTTTTGCAGGTTTTTCATTTTCTTAACCCATTCTTACTTGAAGGAAGGGCTACTTTGGTCTAGGGTATGGTGTAGAATCGTACGCAGAAAGGGGCAATTTAAGCAGCACGTCCCCTGCGAAGTTTGTGGGGTTTATTCTAGCGGAGGCATCTCCTCAATTCTCCAACTTAACCTACCAGAGAAAGGGGCGCAAAGAAAGAACAAGCAGGTGTTGTGGGATTTGGTTCCGCCTTCGCCATCCACCTCCCCGTCGCGCCGCGCTCCCCGCGGCTGCGGGCAGATGGGGCCGAGCTCCCCCGCCGGGGCGCTTCTGCCCGCTTTTCCTCCTCGGCGCGGCGAGAGGGGGAGCTCCTGTCTGGGCCACCTGGGTGGCGGCGGCGGCGGCTCCCTCGCCTGCACTTCCCGCT